TCTTAAAAAAAAAAAAAAAAGAAAGAAAAGACCCAAAACCCAAGAATAGCATAATAATCATAAAGAAGGGAATGCCTGGAAGGGGAACAAGTTGGAGGCAGCAAGACCAGTTTGGTAGTCATTGTCATAGTGCAAATAATAAGAGGAAAGAAGAGCTTATTTAGCACATGAGTAGGAATCAAAAAGGAAAGAAACACACACACACATTTCAGAGGCTGAAAAAGTAGAATCAACACGTAGGAGGATACAAATGTAATTTTAGAAATCATCCTCTTAAAGGAAACCACCAGAGTTCAATGAAAGTGAACAAGAACACCAAGTGAGAAACTGTACTGACTTTCACTTGGAATGATCACAGTCTAACGCAGAGCCTGCACTTAACATAACAAAAGAATCTTCTGCTACAAAGTAATGAAATGTAAGCGGTCTATTAAAGCAGACCCCTTACTGTACTGTTACTCTTTCATTATTTGAACTAATCTTCCTGCATGGAGAGTTTTAGTTGGTTTAAATAAATGTTCATGAAGACCTTTCCTTCCTCCACACTCGGAACCCTCCCCCAACACACACCCACATTCTGATGGAGCTCTCACTCTGCCTCCGTAGCCCTGGCTTCCAAACTCGCCTTACCAAGGGCAGTCTTCCCGCTTCTTGAAGTCCCTGCGGCTCCTGGAGCGCACAGTCCTGGTCGGATGGGTGGGTGCCCACCACAGGGTTACATGCTAAGGTGGAGCCCGAGGGACATTTGCTGAAGGAATCGCTGACCGCCAGCGTGGCCCAAGGATCACTGCGTCTGCCCGGCTCCCCGGCACACACTGCCGTTTTCATTAGCCGGACACACCCCTCTCCTCGGGCCCTTTTCCTCCTCCACCCAGCACATACCACACGTCGTCCGTCGGAGTTTCCACGTGTCACTTCATCGCTGCCACCCCTACTTGGCTGATACTTCAGGTCTCCGATACCGCCGCCCTCGCTCGTGCAGACCTCACAGAGCCCCGCACGCCCCCTCCTCCGGGAGCTGCCCCGTCCGCCC